CTATTTTTCGATTTTAAATTTATCACTATTTGTTTCATCACCACTTTTCTCTTGCTTTCCTTCTCGTTTTTGTATTTGAAGCCTTTGCCCCTTTGTTTTGCTTTGCTGTTTTAGCAGTTTTTGTCCTTCAGGCTCTCCATTCTCTACATCTTCTTTGCTGTAATCTTTGCTTTTTTCTCCAGATTTTTCATTTGCAGCCTCATTCTCCTTCACATCGTCAGCTTCATCCATGATCTGCTTACTCTCTTCTTCTACATCACTTCTATCTTTATCTCTTTTTTGTGGATAAAGTACGTAATGCTGAGTGATGAAAAGAATATCAAAAAGCATCGAGAATAAGCCTAATCCAAACTTCACGGGATTTCCATAGAAAGCAGTCCAGTCGGCAACGTTCCAGCATTGCAAGGACATCTGAATTATATCAAGGCTGCCTCCAGTGAAATCGAGCAAAATGTTCCCTATTGACCAGCCAGTAGTGCTCTTTCTTCTGAAGTTAAGGATTGCCTGAAACACATATGAGCAGTCTGTAAGGGATAATGAACATCATGATTCAGCCGTACTTGCAAATTCTCTTTTAGTTAGCTTATCAGCCAGATTGTAATTTTCAGTTTCACTTTCGATTTAACCAATAGAGCACGTTCACAGAATAAGTGGGAAAAACTGGGAGTAAAAATCTCCCCGTAGGAGGGTCATCAGCGAGAATGGGCGTAGTTGGGAAAGGTTAAACCACGCTCGTCTGTGATTGGTGCTGTGTAGAATTTCTCCGAAATTAATTGATTTTCGGGAAGTTTTGACAATAATTGGAAGTAATAATAGGTAAAACTTGTCTTTTTGTCGCCTTAGTTCGCTTTATCTCCTTTTCAACCTCAATTGATGTGGGAGAAGGTGGTTAAACAGATTTATTTTCAAACTCGAAAGCATGAGAGGTTGCCACTATAAATTAGAAGGATTCGATAAGTATAAGCGATTCAATCAGGAAAGGTTACATAGTCACGTCCACTCCGCGCGTAGCATTAGCTGCTCATCGCGTAAGTCAATTGGCTTCAAGTCAAACCTGCTAAAATGAGCTGTAGCAGCAGATTCTTTCAAAAAAAGGTATGTTTTTCATGGATTTCCTACTTATTTTCAACTTTCTCTATTTTAGATGCCAGAAGGGAAACAGAGGTAAGTCGTAATTATTCATATTTTTTAACTTACACTTCGCTTTTAAGGTTCAGCCACTTTTAGTGGTAGTTATGAAACTTTCCTGATTACATGTATTTATCTTTACCCAATCTACTGTCTAGCTGTCATAATTAACATTTTCTCACATATTTTTGTTTTCGTCACAAATTTCTAGATTATTCTAAATCTGCTTTCAGTGCAGAACATTACTGAGGTAAGTAAGTTTTGTTTTACGCCTTATTATCTAATGTTTACACGCGCATGCAATTCTCATGTTCATGTTTGTGTTCTTGGTCGTGAAGGTCCGAAGACAGAAACGAAAGACCGAGGGGGAGTAATCAAAAGAAGAGCTCGTAAAACATATAGGACGCCGCACAGAAACACAACACGGATAGTCAATGAATGAAAACAAAGATAAATCAGAAAGAACACAAACATAAACAAGACAATGCATGCGCGTAACTCTAAATAATAAGGCGCGCTTACCTTAGTAACGTGCTGCACTGAAAACAAATCTATGATAAACATTTAGAAATTTGTGACGAAAACAAAATTATTTGAGAAAAGATTAAATGCGATAGCTAGATAGTAGACTGGGTAAAAATATATACATGTGATCGGTGAAAATTTATAGCACTAAAAGTGGCTAACACCTTCAAAGCGAAGTGTAAGTTAAAAATAAACGGTCGAAGCACACGAAATCTGAATAAATTTACCTCTCCTCAATCTTTCTGGCATCTGAAATAAAAAAGAAAACTGCAAATAAGGAGGAAATCCATGAAAACAAAACCTGTTTGTGATAGGAACTGCTGCTACAGCCCATTTTAACTGTTTCGGGTTGAAGCCAACTGATTTACGCTGATGGGCAGCTAATGCTACCCGCGAAGCGGACGTGATTGTGTGAAGTTTCACGATCCTCAAATTGCCTATATTCACTTTTCGAATGACAATATCAAAGTTTACGAATAGCATTCAACTCAGACCAATATTTAAAAATATTTTGTTCGGATGAAAGTTGACCATTCGATTATTTTTATTCGAAATTTCGCTTCAGTCCAGCGTACAGTTGCCATGTCGGATAAATACGCGCCTTTTTTTTTCGAACTCTTAAGTGACCTAAGAAATCGAAAGTTTGACAGACTTTGTGTAGCATAGAGCAAAATGGAAGTCCTCTTCTACAAAATAAGCATTTAGCTTGTTCAAAACTTGTTTTTGTTGAAATGGAAGTGATTGAAAATGTATCATTAGAGACTAAAAAAGGCATGACATCTTATTTATGGATTGTGAGGAATTCGAAGTTGACAAGAACGCTACATAGTGGAATAATTGGCTATCTGATATGAAAATCATGGCCCTTCTCCGCATTTGCTTCGTTGTAAAATTACGTTAGGTACGCGATGCAGAATTGAATTAATTGATGCCAAAGTGGTCTACTCGAGTTAATGACACAGTGGTAAAAAAAATCATATCCATTATTCATGGTAAAGCCTTTTGCGCTAGAGAAAAAATTGTCCACTTTTTCCTTTTGCATCGATCAGAGATTAAGCTTATCGTCGCATACCCACACTAATTTTGCGGTGAGAACTTTGGTGCTATGTGGACTATATCAGTACGTTATTAACGCGTTTTGACCTCTCTTCCGACAAAAATGTGAATTTGACCATTGTAGCGTAGTTACCGCAGCCCTACAGAAAGGCAGGCCATATCGAGAATGAGTGTGATTCATTAACATATCCGATATCCCGACAAATTACTATATAAATAAAGCTTCTGGCGTACGTCGTTTGAACTCTTTTCGGACCTTTTCAATCTAATTCAACATAGTGAGATCGTGTGAGTTAGGTGTACCTTCTTGTAGACGAAGACTTCTTTCAAACGATTTAGAATACTTATAATAAAGCGCTAAGTTTGTCTGTATGTGTGTGTGT